TTCGACCATCAAAAGTGCATGAAATGTTCGTCTCCAAGTTCTGTATATATACCACACTTGCTATTCAAATTTAGCGCCGGAAATCTCCGTTTCACTGGCGTCCACATACTTCCTGGTTCCGCCAGCCGGCTTCCTTGTCTCCGCCCACTTTCGTGTCAGATTGCGTCTGTCGTCAGACGTCTTTTTCCCGAACCGGAAGTGACTCAGATTGACTCCCTGAAGCTGCCGCAGCCATATTGGGAAAGTCTTTGTAGTATACTCCACATGGGACTGTCCTGGCAATGTTTTACTTAACTTATAACAAAATGAAAACATGTCTCATCCCTTATAAAACCTGTATTACTAATAAATATAAAAAATACAATTGTATAGACGAACTTTTGTATAGGTGTATTTAAAAGGAGAGAAAAAGGAAGAAATATAATATTTAAAGAATGAAGAGATAACATCATTAATATAATACCTGTAAAAAACAGCACAATAAGACATGTAAATTATTAATGCATATATTCATAAAAAAATATATATAAAAAAATATAATACAGTCTTAAACAGTAAACAATTTTTAAATTTAATTAAATGAGCACACTCATTTCAAAATCCATATTAAGTCCTTTGGGTGATAGTGTGTCAAAATTAAAAATCCAGCCCATTTCACATTTACTTAAATTTGCGTTGATATCACCTCCTCTCCAATGTTTTGTGACCGTTTGGATTCCATAAAATTTAATATGACTTGGGTCCTGATTATGATGTTCAAGGAAATGTAAAGAGACATTATGTGTTTTAAGTCCTTTTCTAATGTTATATATGTGTTCACGCACCCTCGTGGCCACACATCTAGATGTTTTGCCCACATATTGTAGACCACAAGGGCACTCCAACACATATATAACATTTTTGGTCTTACAAGAAATAAATGTATCTATCTTGTATTCTTTTAGATTAACATTGGAGTGGAAGGACAAAATCTTTTTTCTTTTATTTTGGATGTTCTGCACAGTTCCCACAAAAATTAAAACCTTTTAAAATAGTCTTCTGACTATTTAAAAAAATATTATCAGTTTTTTCAATAAAACTTGATGTTAAAATTTGCTTGAGATTCTGAGCCCGCCTATATATAATTTTATGTTTATCTCCTATATAAGGTGCAATATCATCATCTTGTTGTAATAAATGCCAATTTTTATTAAAAATTTGTTTGTTTTGAGTGATTTTTGTTAAAATTAAATATTAGTGGAATTGTATCTTCATGTTTCTTATCCTTCTTTTGCTGGTATTTCAACAATTCTTCTCTATTTAATTCCCCGATTTCTTGAATTGTATTCTCAAGAGTTACTTCCTTATAACCTTTTTCTAAAAATTGTCCTTTCAATGAGGAGGCCTGCAAATTATATTTTTCTATTTCTGAACAGTTCCTTCTCAATCTAAGGAACTGACCTCTTGGGATATTATCCAGCCAAGGTGGAAAATGACAGCTTCCCTTTTCTATGAAGCTGTTCACATCCACCTGTTTAAAATTTTTTATCCTTTTTGATGTAAATATTTAAATCTAAAAAATCTATAGTTTGTCGATTGATTGTATGCGTTAATTTAATATTCCACTGATTGGTATTAAGATGGTTTAAAAAATCTAAAACTGATGATTCGCACCTTTCCAAATAAAGAAAATATCATTGATATATCTTCTATAGAGGACCAGGTTCGCTACCCAGTCATGTTGGGGAAAAAACAAAGTTTTCTTCACAATGGGCCATAAATAGATTAGCATAACTGGGAGCGAACCTGGTCCCCCATAGCACTTCCTCTGCATTGCAGATAAAAGTCACCTTCAAACCAAAAAAAAATATTATTTAAAATAAGTTTGATAGATTCTAAGATAAAGTCAATCTGTTCCTCATGATACATTTTAGAAGTCTGGAGAAAAAATCTCGTTGCTTCACAGCCTCTATCATGTTGAATACATGTATAGAGGCTCGCCACGTCACACGTGACAAGTTTAAATACTGATGCAATTACTGTGAATTCAAGTTTATTTTTCCAGCTACACCAACCATAGTCACAATGTATTGTCTTATAAGGTTGTAGAAAAAAAAAGATCACCTCCTGGCAGACCTCCAATCTCCAGTAACAAATGTTTGATGGAAAATGCTAACACCTTTGCTGATGAAGGTTTATGTCGACTGGTTGAAGCAACCTCTTTTTTAAGTCAGGAATACTCAGCACACACTTCTCAAATTAAACAATATCAGTGCCCCCATACACTGATTTACAGGGGAGGGCTGGCAGCCTTAGGCCTGGGGGGAAAAACCAGTCAAGTGGCCCATTGCACCACCAAATCAGTTCACCATCCATGCCCACCTGGTTTTATAACGGATATTGATGTTATGCTAATCAGTAGCTCTTTGCCATACCCGCTCCTTCACGGCTCTGACTTTCAATGTTGTCAGAGCGCAGGCTGAGAATCTCTGATCCTGTGCTCTGACTCTCTAACTGAGCGCCAGAACCATGAGAGAGAGGATATAATCTGACTGCACCTACTGCTGGTGCGCACCAGTGGACCACCAGCGAATCATTTAAATTGAATATGCTGGCCTGGTGTCCCCAACTTGTGAGCTGTGTTGGCCGCCGGGCGCCTCTGTTGTCATGGCACCCTGCATGACCGCACAGCTTGCACACCCCAACATCTGGCCCTGCTGACACATACTGATGTTACTACTTAGAAATCCCTCAATATTAATACAGACATCAGAGTAAACACCAATAAACTGTGCAAACAGAGCTGATCCCCCCAAAGATTTGCTGAATGGATTTGTTGTAAGATTAAATCATGCCTCCTCCTCTCCCTCTCCCATGCGCTGCGTGAAGTGAAGAGTAATCACATTCTCCCAGCACAGCGCCACCTGTGGCTGCATGGGGAACAGCTGTTTAATGTAATGTTTGCAGGACGGCCACCTGCCGCAGAACCTCTTTGTTCCCATCGCTGCAAAGGGCTCCAGGCACTGCTTGCTGTGAGTGTGAGCCACTGTAAATTAGGGGCAGAGGGCACTTGCACTGCGGTAAAGACAGGTCTGGGCAGGAGCAGAGTGCAGTGCAATCCCCTCCTGTGGGTCACCAGTAGACACAGTGTAGACACAGTGTGTGTTTAGATTAAAAAGCCTGCAGGGACCGGCTATAGACACCAGAACCACTTCATTAAGCTATAGTGTCCCTTTAATGTGAGGTAAATTATAGATTAGTGTCACTAATAATATACTAGATTGCCTACTTACAACCAGATGAGGATGATGATGGGCTGCGGTTTGGCTCCACTGGTCTGGTGTAGAAGAGGATCTCTGAAGGCTGTTTGTAACTGTGGTCACAAAATTCAAAGTTCTAGTAGAATGGGAAGCAGCTCCATTTTTTGGGGGCCCCTTAAACAGCTCAAGGTCTGGGTCCCAGGGCCTGACGGTGAGTATGCCCATAAGGCCCACCTAAAAGTCCACCTACATGTTCCACCCATGAGTTCGCTCACAGGGAGTGGAGTGTGTAGGGGATGTGTTATTGTAGAGGATCTAATGTGTGTGCTTATGGTATGTAGTGTATAGGGATACCAGTTTGTGTAGGTGATGCAGTGTATTTGTAGTGGAGGTAGTGTGTGTTTGTGTATAAGCGATGTATTGTGTGAATCTGTGTTTGTATGCATTAGGGATGCAAGGTGTGTGTCTGTAGTGTGTGCATTGAGTGTGTGTATGAAATGCATTGTGTTTCTGTGTATATGTAAGAGAAGCAGTGTGTGTGTTTGCATGTGTGTAAGGGTTTGCATTGTGTGTTTCTGTGTATGTGTGCAAAGGATGCATTGTCTTTGTGTGTAATGGATGCATTGTGTGTTTCTCTGTGTGTAAGGGAAGCATGTTGTGTTTCTGTGTGTGTAGGGATGCATTGTGTGTTTGTGTATGTATAGGGATGCATTGTGTGTGTGTGCACGTAGTGTGAAAGAGCTCCCTGTCCTGCCCCCTGTCCTATAGAGCTCTCCCCCCCCCTTCCCTAGCAGTCACTTCTCACACCCACCCACCCTCCTCTTCTCATCCCCCCCCCAAACCTCCGGTATTCTTTTCAGCCCCCTCCCTCCCTGTGTTCTTCTCACTCCCCCCCATGTGTTCTCCTCACCTCCCCCCATGTGTTCTACTCACTCCCTCCACCCTCCCTGTGTTCTTCTCACTCCCCCACCCTCCCTGTGTTCTCCTCATCTCCCCTTCTCTCCCCTCCTCCCTGTGTCCTTCTTACTCTTCCCCATCCTCTCTGTGTTCTTCTTAACCCCGTTCTTCTTAATCCCCCGTTCTTCTTAATTCCCCCAATCCCCCTGTTCTTCTTAATCTCCCCACCCCGTTCTTCTTAATCCCCCCACCTCTCCCCCTTCTTCTAATCCCCCCTTCTTCTTAATCCCTCCCCCCTTCTTCTTAATCCCCCACCTTCTTCTTAATTCCCCCTCCCCCCTCTTAATTCCCCCTACCTCTTCTTCTTAATTTCCCCCCTCCCCTTCTTCTTAATCCCCCCTTTTACTTAATTCCCCCTCCTCCTTCTTCTTAATTCCCCCAATTCCCCTAATCTTCTTAATCTCCCCACCCCTCTGTTCTTTTTAATCCCCCACCCCCTGTTCTTCTTAATCCCCCCACCTCTCCCACTTCTGCTTAATCCCCCACCCCTCCTTCTTAATTAC